GTTTAGTTTTATATTCCGCTCTTTGGCTCTCGTGGCATTTGTTTGCTTAGGGCCAGTTCGCCCACTGTTTGCTTTGTGTGTTGAAAACAATTTTGAGGGCCAGCCGACTGGCGCTTTGTTTCTGGCTTTGATTGAAATTAAGCGCATTTAAAGAGGTGGCCCGCAAAATGTGGCCATAGTTCAAGTGGCATTGTTTTCATACAAAACTACCCAGCATAATATATATACATCTGGGTATATAAATTGTGATAAATTGTTTTGGTAATTTGACAAGCATTTGTGAGGAGGCTGTTGGGCCTTCAATAAATATGAGGATATTGTTATAATTAATGTGAGTGCTTTGCCAAGTGGACAACATTTGCTTTCATTATGCTTATTTCCTCAATTAATTGTCTCCACTGCGATACTCTCCACTTAATCGTTGCCAACATGTTGCTGCGCTTATTTGAGCGACAATAAAACGTACCACAATGGAGTATATACATATATACATCTATATATCACATATTAAAGTTTTATTTTAAATTTTCAACTAAACAATGTCATCGAAATGTCACATTCTCTATTCTGGCATTCTGCAAAATTTCCGTTGCCTGTTTAATGCGTTATCAACGTCCGCCAAATATAGCCATGAGAGTGGACAATAGGCTCTAACAACTGAACTCTAGTGTCAGCTGTGAGCTGCTCAGTGAATAGCGAATAATTAAATGCAAATTAACAATGGTCAATGGACTTTTCGGTTGGCCAGTGGGACTGGCGCTGTTGCTGTTGCACTCGACTAAATCGCATGGTGAAAATTTGCATGCACTGATGGACCAGTTCGCTAATGGAGAATCCAGATATGTATTACGATTATGCCATACGAAATGGACATTGGGCTGTTGTAGTTGTAGCTGCAGATAGACACCATGCGGCCTTAACCTGAGCTGAATTCATATGCCATTGTTCCATACACGAACACACACACACACACACACACATGCATGCATACAGAGCCGCCCAATCTGGCATTCTTATTAGTTTATGCCACTCAGCCAGTGAAGAGCATGACGTATAAGCGCATATGTTGCTATGCGAGTAGGCAAGTGCAAAACTATGCGAACTTTCGAACAATGCAAGGCTCAAAAGCTGATGCTTGCATACATCAGCGTATCAGAAGCGAAAAGGTGGGAGACGTGGCACAATAGAATGGTTTCCAGGCTAGAAAGGAGGCAACATGCCAGAGATATCATGAGTGCCCTAAGCCTACAACCATATAAGTCAGAAACATGGTTCTTAGAATACAACTCAAAAGATTGTAAAGTATGCGTTAAGCTAGGCAAATTATATGAGACTTTTTGAGACTTAACTTGATTGGGATGAGATTCTTTAACAATTGTTAGCTGGATGTAAATGTATGATAGATAAATGAAAGAATATGGAAACTTCTACTTTTTAGTTATGTAAAAATTATATTGTAAAAATTATAATATATTTGTATTGCAAATACAAATATAAAACCTTTACTCTTATATATAAAATACTAACGGAAAGTGTTAAATTCATTCAATATGTATAAAATATTCGTTAAAAAAAATTAATAAATTTGTATACAAAAAGTCTTACGGCAAAAAAAATATTATATAAAATTATATGAAAGACATAAATACCAATATAAGATATTTATATTTACTAATATATATATTTTTTTCAAAACTAGAAATTTTAATCAAATATTCATAGTTTTTATATCAATCACTCTTTTTTTTATCGCTTGCAAGCCCTACTTCAGTTCGTCCAAAACTTTTTAGCCAGATTAGCTTGTTCTATTTGCCTAAAAGCTCTAGCCAAACATATGTACTATAACATAAACTATGTAAACTGCTACCTGTTTCAATCAATTCTATCATAAAACATGCCCCCACAAGCACAACGAGTTTGCCGTCGCATTGGCCACGGGTATAAACACGTTGGCCAACATTTGAGGTTGAAATGCAATCTAAAGCAAAGCACAAACTTTAAAACTGTTGACCCGCTCGTCGCCGTTCGTCGGCCACAAAGTGGATGAAATGTAGTGAGGTGCGAGGTAGGAGGCGCTAGCGTTTGTGTTTGTGTAAATTGCAGTATTCGATGGCCAATACGACCGACCAAAAACAGCAAAAGTACAAAACCAACGGATTGGAAAAGTGCGCCTGACACAAACACACACATACTCACACACACACACACATGAGCACACTTACACACACGAGCACTCACAGACAGTGACTAATACACAGCTGTCTGCACACACAGACATACAATGTGCTGTCCGTGTTGGCCTAGAAAACCGAGTACAATATAAAATGCCAAAAATGTGAGAGAGCACGTAAAACGTAAAGTGTTTGTTATACCCTGTAGCCATAAAGTGGTTGAAAGGCATATCAGCTTACCGACCCAAAGCTATTTATTTATGATTTTCATAGAACCCATCGATAAAAAAAAAAAAAAAGAATTCTGCCACCAGCTGAACTAGTAAGAGGATTATAAACTTTAAGAGCAGCGCAGGACGTTGCTCTTCAAAGCGCTACAATTTCGACGAATGTGAGATTCAGAGAGAGGGAGAGAGAAAGAGAGAGAGAGAGATAGAGAGAGAATCGAATATAAGAGGTAGAGGAAGAGAGTCTAGTATGTGCGTCCGAGTTGATCAAAGATGGTGTATTAAATTTATAGAATAGGTTGAGTCTTGGGAAGGAAGAAGCGAAAGGGTAAGTTTACTAATGTTTTATGAATTAAATAATCGCTGTAGCTTAAGAATAAGAAATAAATAATTTGTAATATGGAGTTGATTAAGTCAAATAAAATGAAGTGAGAGGAGCTCATAGATCACAGCTCAACTAAAGACTTAAAAGTTGACTATAGGTATAGAGTGCCCTACTTAATTTAGAAGATAGAAAAGAAATCCTGTCTATCAATCTCTAGTAATCTCCAGAGTTAGAGGAGCTAGAGCGATGAAACATAGAATTTATGTTCTTATGATAATTTATGGTACGTTTAATCAAATAAAAATAACAATAATTTCATAATTGTTGGAAATAAATGCTATTCCTGCACTTAAATTCAAATGATGAGTTGTATGCATATTATGTCCATTAAGTCCATTAAGCAGTATCTGCTAGTTGGAGTCTCCCTATTGCCGCAGCTTTCGCTCGTTGTTTTGAAATTTGTGCTGCAGGGCTGTCCCATTATTGGAAATAAAACAATTGACAGCAATGAGACTGCGCCCGGCAGGACCTAGCTAGGATCCAATATGCTGTTGGCCGCGACCATAAGCGCTGCGGCATTGGCGTTACCAAAGTCGCCAGCTCCCCAGTTATCCAGTTATCGAGCTATCCAGCTCTCCAGCTGCCCATGTTATTCACTAGGTTGGCCCAGTAACTGCCCGGTTTCGCAGTTATCCTTCGATTAGTTAAGCTGCGCAAAATAATGATGACAGCTGACGAGGCTTGCCGCAGCGCCGGCTACATTCGAGCCAAAGGTACTAGGTGCTAGGTGCTGTGTGCGGCTATCCGTGGGAGAGACAGTCAGTTGAGGGGATTAATTGAGTGATGAGTGGGTGCTGTCGTCTGTATAATGGATACTGCTATCTCATAACACTTCAATTTGAGCGCAGCACGTCTGATGTCGCTTAATGGCCAATCCAAGCCTCGCAACACGGCTATCGAATATCGCATGTCGCACTTCGCATTTCGCATCTCGCATGTCGATTGTTGAATGTTTATTCAACTGTTAAGAGAGATTTTTCTTTATTTTTCTAGCGAATGTACCGTATCCATGCTGCCCTGCCGCCGGTCCATTAGCTGGAACAGTACTTGGGAAATTACAGTTATGCTCTTAGCCATAGTAACTAAGCCTTTATCCTTCACCCCCGTCGTCGTCTCCTGTTCTTGGTTATGTTGATTCGCAGCAATCAGCTTATGTCATGCACATTTACTGTGCGCGTATTATAGCTATTAGCTTGAATATCGTGTAATGTCGCATTTAATGGGCACTGAATTTCATAGCCGACGATTCCATGCAAATACTGTTATCACACAGATACTTTGGCAGCTTTACATGCATATTTTCAAATGTATATATATATATTATATTGCATAGATTTTTTTTTATATATATTTCTGTATTAAACAGATCATTTTTCTCGTACAGACACATACTTGTTTACCTTAATAAATATATATATTACAGATAGTTTTCTATCTTGGAGATACTTAAATATCTGACAGAGACTTTTGCATTCCATAACTATTTTTGTATCGTTCAGAAAATTTACTAACAACTTTTTCTTGTACTTCTGGATTCTGTAATTTTAATTTGTATATTTATTTAGTTGTTTAATTTTTTTTTTTGTTTATGCGACAATCACAGATTCTTTGAGAACTAATGAGCTTTTCATTTGATATGTATATATTTTTTTAAATATATAT